TATCATGAGTACAGCTTATCAATCAGCACCAAGGGTCATAGCTCGCCATTCGACAATAACATCGTCATCCGCCTCAACTGAAGCAGTTCGCTCCCAGATGCCCTTTATCCTCTGTCAAGCGCTTCTTTTTTGAGAGTCAGGACACCAAAGTCAACAAACAGGCCACCATTGCGGTATTCAGCCAGGGCAGTGAGTGATTCGGCGTTGGTCCATTGTAGACCGAGAACTCGCTGGAATGGGACCATTAGCGAATAAGTGAGCCACTGGGTAAGTTTGTGAAATGGTTGAATGCATTCTGAGTGATGGCCATCATGAGAGCTGCTTTGTTTCTGCAGAATGCCTAATGGCCATGCATCACCGATAGGGTGTCCGTTAACCGTGGTGCGGTCTTTGGGCCAGACAGGGATCAGGAGATTTTGAAGAATGTCCCAAAAAGCTAGAATGTCAAGTTCTGAAGACTTTCCAGCAGATTTAACAATAAAGTCTATATTTACGCTTAACGTGTTTTCTTTTAGCAAATTATAGTGATGCGTGGAACGTGCATACCAACAAGATTGCCCGGGCGGCCTTGATCCCCAAAAATGTCAGGATTGGAGAGGAGCGATTTCCCTAATCCCCTGAGCAAGGCTGCACGAGAATCAACTCCAAGCATTGGGTTGCTCTGCGAGACTTGAAAACCTTCTGCTAATGCCTCGGTACTCAGCTGCTTTAATCCCCTACCTGCCAGTAAAGTTAGCACCTCAACCCACCCAATAAGATCAGAGGTGACGTACCGTCAACCAAGGGCGTCCTTCCGACTTTCTCAGCAGCAAAAGCCAGTGCCTTGAACATATACAATGACGCAACTGCAAGGCCTTCGCTCCGTTCGTACACTCGATCCGTCCCTGGCTCGATATACCGCCAGTGGTCACCGGCACCAGCATCTAAGAGCACAGAAACAAAGAATAGATCGATGAGGCGTCGCGTTACTTCGAGGTCATCACATTTCTCATTCTTCCAATCCTGTATAATATTCTCGATACGTGGCACGTTGCCAACATCAAAGTGTTGCCAGCGGCCATGTGGTGGAATTGTATCGAATTTGTCTGGGCCAAAATCCCGCTGACAGAGATAGTCAGCTAAGCCATCGCCCACACGTCAGCTTACAAGGGGCTGGCGAGTTCTGGACATACATTGATAATAGAGCTCACGAAATCTGCAACAGCATCCATTCGATCCTCGTGTAGGTCGAAATGGTTCAACCTCCCGGCTCGAGCGGCATCCCCTATGGTTATCGCGCGCTCCCGGATGGCACGCAGAGATAACAGATACTTAACCTCTGGATCCATCTGAGCTATACGGGTTATGTGAAAGTGCCGATAGGGATCGTTTGGGATCGATCGTACAGTACAACCGCGGCGGGGCTCCCGAGGTGTACTTTGGAAGATCACATGATGACGCAGCCCTAAATCAAATAATCCAGATCTCATTCACTATCCCCAATTAACTCTCATTCAACTTCAAATTGAAGGGGATTTCGGCAATTTCGTACCGAATTCCATGTACCATGTCGTTTCCTGATTTCGAACGGTCATGTTATGATATTTTCAGAAAGTTATTGGCCTTTTTCATGTTATCACGGCCGAAAGACAAATCGCGTCTTTTGTATTGCGCTGCACGGGTTTGGACAACCCACTCATTTTGCATCTTAAGCTTGATATATTGGCATGAGAATATTTGGAATACCTAGGAAGACAACGCAGGTACATAAGCCGTACAATATATTCTCCAGCCGAATATCGAGCGCCTCACAAGGAAGAGGTAGCTCCGAACGCTGAGAATATATCGTTTTCAGGATGCTAATCAAGCCAGAGCCCGGTCTCTTCTTCCGTGATATTTTCGTTTCTCTGATCTCCATCCCGCGGATTGGGGTA